CGCAGAGAAACCCCTGGCATCCTGACCTCCTGCTTTTCCTCTCCTGGAAACCGGGGATGGAAAGGATCTGGATCAGCTGGCAAATTTCGAGAATAAGACCCTGATTAAAATCATCCCAAACCTGAGTATTTTTCTCTTTCTCCTCTTTTCCCTCATCCTTTTTATTACCACATAGATTCCTCCTGCTGCTTCTTGCTGTAATGATATTGCTGCACACTCCCCTTCACCTGATCCCTTCCCAGCACACCAACACCCTCCATTCCCTTGGTTCCAAATGCCTTCTCCATTTCCCTTATTGCCTCTCTGGGTGTCCATGTCCTTAATTACCTCTGGGGGAATGTGCAAACTATCTCAACATTCTCACAAGGAACCCTTCAGAGACATTTTGGGATCATCATCCCTTTGGCCAGGACCCCTCCTTGGCTTTCCCTTTTTGCCTCTCTGGGTGTCCATGTCCTTAATTACCTCTGGGGGAATGTGCAAACTACCTCAGCATTCTCCCAAGGGACCCTTCAGAGACATTTTGGGATCATCATCCCTTTGGCCAGGACTCCTCCCTGCCTTTCCCTTTTCTCCCCTCCATGGGTGCCCTGCCATGTTCACTCCCCGAGGATCCCAGGGCACTCACTGATGAGATTTTCAGTGCTCTCTCCCTGCTGACTCTTCCCAGACCCCCTGATGTGTCACTCGTCTGTCTCCTGGTCACTCCCGGGTCCCCAATCAATCCCCGGTGCCGCTGCCAGCCAAGGGAGCCGATCACCCAAAGTGGGTGAGGCACCTTCAGCTGCACTCCCTGCCCGCCGCCCCGGATGGTGGAAGGAATTCGGGATGAGCCCCAGAGTGTGCGGGAAAATTGATATCACTAGAGGATTGTGTCCACAAAGCAGACAGAGGAGTCCTGTAAAAGTAATTTCATTCCTAAAAATGGGAGAGGCCATGGGACATTCCCGATGGGATCTCTCCAGTTGTTGGAGGACACAGCCCTCCTTTTCATCCTAGTTCTCCTGGCCATATCTCCCTCTGCTTTCCCCATTGGCTGAAGTACTTTAGAGCTAGACTTCCCAATCCACCTACTACATACCCACCTTAATATGCTCCCTGCTTTTGTATAGCAGATGATATTCATGGCTCTGTTAAGTCTTTAATCCTCTGGAAGTTCATGAATTAAGCAGGACCTTGGCTGAGCAGCAGTCTGTGTCATCAATTAATAAAATTTTCTGAAACCGATGTCTTCTCCTGTCACTTCCTTACATAAAAAAGTTGCCTGGCCCTATCTCCGAGCAGATTCAGAGCATCTGTTTGTAAAGACACTTTCCTGTTGTTCCTTCCATGGGGTCCCCCGTTTGTGGGACATCCCCCCTGGAGCAGGGTGTCCCCTCTGTGCTGCAGCCCCAGG